CTTCATTTAAACACACAACTACATTCATACAAATTCATTTAAATACATATATGATACCCATTATTCACTCATTCAATATAAATTTTTATATTTTATTCTCAATAAAAATAAAAAATAATATTTTTAAATTATAATAATAAATTTTAAACACATGAAATTGAAAGAACACTAGAAACCAATAACTTATATTAATATTATGCAATAGTACAATTACAAAAATTATTATATTTTAGTTATTAGGAAAATGATATATAGATAAAAAAAATTAAATATAAAAAAAAAGAAAAAAAAGTGAATAAATAATTATTTTAAAACAAAAAAAAAAAGCATATTGTGCGTGTAGTATTATAAATAATGATTTTAAAACAAAAAATAAAAGAAAAAACAAAACAAAAAATAAAAAAATAAAAAACGGTCCAAATTACCGTTCATTAGAATGAACGGATAGAGGGGGCCCACTCCTAATGAACGTCACACATGGAGATGTTAAACGGTTCTTGGATCGATGGGCTGGCCCGTTTAGCCCGAAGAAAAACAGGGTTAGGGCCTTTTTTTAATAGCCCATTTAAATCAGGGATTTTTTAGGCCCGGACCGTTTAGACCGAAGTCTGATAGGGCTAGCCCGAAGCCCGCTAGGGCTAGCCCGTTTAACTTGTATATTACAACTTTACTATTCTACTTCATATGTAACTATGAGTTGTAGCCGGTTATTATGATTTTGAAAGATAATTGTTAACAATTTCGTTATTCTACTTCACACCAAATTATTTAAGCCAATTAGAACGGCTAATAGAAAACACATGAGACAATGACCTAACACATAGAACATAGTGATAAAATTTAAATTAAGCAGTAAGATACAATATCGTGAAAATTTTCAAAGCGTACAAAAATAAGTAGTAAAATGGTAATTATAAGTAATAGTTCGAACATTTTTTTCTTCTTTTGAGAAAACATGTGTATAAATTTATTTTTTAATTAAATGTTTATAAATTAAAATATAAATTTGCTTATAGCACGATTTTAGTATTTTACATGTAACTCGAATCCTTAAAATAAGGAAAAATCTACTTGTACAATTTTCTTGTACAACATTTAATGACAACATGATGTGGCATAATGTGAATGGTTGAGATACAAATAAATGTATGGTTAAAATTTAACTTAATGATACTTTTAACTAATGTTGTCAACTAATATTGTAAACTACAATTGTATATGTAGCATTGCCCTTAAAATAATAGCTGCTACTTTTTTTTTGTTATTTGGGTAAGAACTTAAATTGTTATGAAATAAAGATAGCAAATAATAATTTATTGTTGATAATATATTGGGTATATAGTGAATGAACATTGGGCAAAAATCTGATTTTGGTCCCCTAACTTGTCTATTGTTCACTTTTGGTACACTATATTTCCTCTTATCAAAGATGATCCATTAAGTTACACGTTTCATCAGTTTTAGTACACTAATCTCATGGGTCGGGATTACGAGATGACAAATCAGGTTTTTATCCTACCACGTCAATATCATATCCCTCCACATAGTTCCAATCCCTGTCCACGTCATCTCATAATCCCGCCCACGGAAGTAGTGCACTAAAACTTATGAAAAACGTAACATAATGGACCATTTTTTATGATGGGAAAGATAGTGTACCAAAAGTGAATAATGGACAAGTTAGCGGACCAAAATTAAATTTTTGCAGTGAACATTGGATCATTGTGAGATAATGACTTGTCATTTCCTAAAAACTATGTAGATAGGAGATAATTCATATCTATTAATATATAAATATACAATGATATTTACTTGCGCAATAGTAACTAAAAATCAGTAAAAAAAAAAAAAAAAATTCCTCCCTAAAAATTCAGATTTACTAAATCGGGTAAGTTTTTGGCCAAAATTTGAAAATCCCGCCTAAGTTAATGTTATTAATGTATAAAATGATTTTGGCCAAATATTACGGCTATTACCTTTATTAGTTGCATAATTTAAATTTAGAGTATAATATATTGACAAAACTTGTGGCTATACCTTTATTAGTTGCATGGTTTAAATTAAGTATATAATATAATGAATAAAATAAAAATATTTTTATTTAAAATTAAAAATAAAAAAATAATTATTCATAACATACGGTTCAATATTAACTTGGAAGTAAACGAAATAGTCAATTATTTGTGGTTTAATAAATTACTTAATAACTTAGGGTCAATACTAACATGGACGTAAACGAAATATTCAATTATTTATAGTTTAATAAATTATTCAACTAATTTTTTTTATTTGAATTTATACAAAAATAAATTTATTTTAACTAATGAAACAATAGTAAATTTTATATTTATTCTTATTATTCACATAGGTCGTTGAATATATGATAATACTTTACCAAAATAACTATTTTATGGAATCACATTATAGTCGAAAATATAATTTTTGAATAAAAATCTTAAAATGACACCTATGTTGAAACAAATATAATGTAATTTATTATCACTTATGTACACCGTACGGGTCGTGTATAAATTTTAAATAGACATTTTTATGTGATTTTACATAATTTAAACTTTATAACATTTTCAATAAATTAATATAAGTAAATTTTATTACATATTGATTCCATAATTTAATTTATAAATATTATTTAATAAGAGTTTTTAATTTATAAATATAAATTAATATTTCTTACTTTGCACTAGTTTAATACTATACGACACTCATACTAGTTTAATACTTTTTGGTAAGAAAATTTGTTTTTTTTTACCCCAAAAAAAAAAAGAAAAAGAAAATTTGTTTTCTTGAAAAAAAATCTCTTTTAATGGCGATAGAATTAAAAATTATAAAAAAATATAACATATCCGACAAACATAAGGTCAATAAAATATGAACCTCTAGCTTTTTAGACAAGTTGCGTGAAAAAAACAACACAAAGGCTGGGTTAGTTATGTCAAGCCGGCTTTTTTTTTTTTTTTNNNNTTTTTTTTTTTTTTGGCAGAATCATATAAATCTATATCTATATCTATCTATCTATTCTATATCTATCTATCTATATCTATATCTATACTATTTTAAAAGGATGAGTGTTTTTATAAAAATTCATAATATCTAAAAAACCTTTACTTTGACATAAATTTAATGGCAAATTAGTTATACAGTAATACACATCATATTTAATTTGTATTTTTAATTAAAAAATGAGCTACCTAAAAAACTCTTACTTTCACATGTTTTTAATGGCAAATTGGTAATATACTAATGTCATCATATCTTATATCCTTCCTATATATAATTAAAAAAAAAAACATAATTTTTCTCAATTCAACATAAGCAAATCAATGAAAATAATATATTTTTAAAAATTTTATGAACAAAAGTTGACTCGACAATATTATTAATGAATTTATGTATTGTAAATATATAATTAAAATATTAATTACAAAATTATAATTATATATAATATAATATTGAATATACAAATATTTGATATATAATGAGGCAGATGATCGAAAAATTCTATACTTTATATTATGTCTTTTTTGACAAATCTACAGTTAAGAACATGTGAAAGAACAAGATAAAGTTTTAAAAAATATTAAATATACGAAATAATATGAATAATAACTAATTTGTGACACGTACTAATAAATAAAAAACAAACTAATAGACAAAAATAATATAATTAATATAACTAAATATAAACCTTATGAAAATATACTTATCGATGTAATCAAACTGAGTTGTTAAACGCTTATTAATTTTTTGTTCTTATTAATTTTATGTGTAAATTTGAGGTGATAGACAATAGTTATTTGTACATTTATACATGTAGATTAGAAAAAATATCTTTATTATTCTAATTTTAAATAACTTTTTTATTTACTATATTAGTTTTTGTTAATATAATATATAAGTATCGTATTGAACATATAAAACAAGAAATATTTTAATTATATAATATTTAATATGTAAAAAATGTAACTCAATTGATAAATTAATAGGTAATCTTGGGATAAAATAATGAGTGATTTCTGAAAAAAAAAAAAATATAGGAACTAAAAAGTTCACGTGTTTAATATATTTTTAATAGAAAAATTTTTAACACAATTATTCAATAATTACTATATAAAAAATATAAGAATTCTTATATTCTCCCTATATATAATTAAAAAAAACATAACTTTTCTCAATTCAACATAAGCAAATCAATGAAAATAATATATTTTTAAAAATTTTATGAACAAAAGTTGAATCGACAATATTAT